TTCTTTATAAGTACAAGTTCGTCTGTATTACGCTGGTAGTTCAGTATTATAGTAAATCGTGATATCGCCAAAGATTCTACTATATATATAAAAAATATTCATAATTCACATAGTGGAAAGCAAATTTCTATATATGGTACAAAGTAACTAGGTCTTATTATTTTGTTATATGAGTAGATATTTTAAAGGATGCTAAAGGAGGGTTCTTTTGGAAGAAATTAACAACCTTGGTAGCCTTTATTAAAAGCACTTGCTTTGATCAATAATGGATCAAATGGTCCCCTCCCCGTCCGTTCCACAAGCTTTAGTAACCATATCATAAACAATGCTTGAAATATTGGAATTAGCACAACCTAAAAAAGAGCCGTTTGAACATATACGAGTACGCTGAAAGTTGAATTACTACTGTTGTTGGATGACCTACTACTTAGTACGTCCTTGTATCTAGGAGATAAATGTTAATCCAGTCTTATGTAAACATCATTTAATTTAATGTTGTCAATGAAGTGCAAATTGTCATTTTCCATTACAAGAACACGGGGGCACTATATACAAGGATATGGATATAGATTTTGCTTTGTTTCGGCGGGTTATACTAACATAAATACATTACAGCTAAGTGATTAGAATCAGAGTTAGGATTTAAATTTTATGGGTTCAGGATTGTAATTCGTTTAAATTATTGAGTTCTAAATTAATAATTGTACATAATCAATAAACTTCTTAAGATAAAAACAGAGTTCAACAAAAGCTCGTGAGTTCGGCCAAAACCGAATCTCACACTCTGGCTCTGCCCCGCAGGTGGTGTCCAAGTTGCTTAATTGTTGAAATGCCAGTAATATACTCTTTGTATCTTCTTTGTCCTTTTTTTGATAAAAGTAGTGTCGAGACCAACCCGCATATAGTTTGACTAAATTCATTGGATATTAGCTACTTTCCATCAGTGTACTTTGACTAAATTTATTGGATATATTAGCTACTTCCCATCAGGCTGCAACAAGTACCAAGTAAGCTGAGATAAGGTCTATCTCTTCTTTTCCACATCCTTCCTTCTTCTTTCCGGATCTATCTCTCGTTCACCATCGAACACCAGCTCGTCTGGTGTTCACAAGGACTAAGTTACTTAATCGTTGAAAATACCGATATTATACCTTTGTATCTTTTTTATCCTTTTTATGATAATGGTCGTGTTCGGATCAGCTTGTATACATATCGACTAGATAATCAGCAATATGTATCGAGTAACTTTGTCCATCAAAGGCTTAGACATAGATTTGAACTTGAGATTCATGATTTCTATTCACTTTATTAATCACTAGGCTACACAATTAAATGTGAATCTCCTTTGTCCCTTTCAGAATATGGTATCTGCACATTAGCAATCGTTTTATGTTCCTTTGGTCTCCTATTATGAATCTAACCCAAGAACGCAATGACCGTCTTTGCTTGTAGAAAGGGAGACGGTATACACAAAAAGTGCCAGAATGATAGAAACTTTGAAGGGTTAATTTCACAATGACAGAATTAGCATTTTTAGAACACTGAATTTTGTGGTCCAGGTTTCTTGGTTTTTGAAGTCACATCTGGTGACACAGTTTCATCTTCTTTTTATGCCTTCATTTTGTTCCTTCCAACACAATGCGATTAGCTTTCTCCATTCATTACCCCTCAAAAACCTTTTTTTGTCTCCTGTTTAATTACGTACTTATTTTGGTGGGATGAGTACTAGTTTTATACTTTAGTTTCTCTGATTTGAGCTGCTCTTTCGGAAATTGTCCCAAAAGCATGACATTATTACTATTTGAGAAATCAAATAATTTATATATGATTACCAAATTTTTTTATAGTAATAAATAGAGTTAATACCCTAAAATCCCCCTAAATTATCATGTTTTTGTTAGTTTCCTATTTAAACTATTCGTTATCCCCAAAACTCCTCTGAACTATATTGCCCTTCATATTAAAACCCCTTCATTGCATTCTAAGAGGTGCGTCTAGTACACGCTCCTAATTATCTAAAGAACATGTCATGTAGCACTACACGTGGCTATTTAACTTAACGTAAAACCTGCCTAAACTATCATTTTTTTGTCAGTTACCTATTCAAACTATCTGGTGTCCCCAACACCCCCTGCACTTTATTTTTCTATATATTAAAACCTCGCGTTGGACTTTTAAAGGTATGTTTGTCTAACTATATTAACTATATAGTTTACTCATGATTCTCGAATGATTGTTTAATTCTAGGAGTTTTAGCAAAAATAATATCCAATGTACTGTGTTAATTTTAGGTTTAATTGTGATTATAATTTATGCTAGACTCCAATTGATAGGTCCTTATTTATATTCACTTTGTAGCACAGTAAAAATATAAATAAAGGCATATAGAGTTGCATTTCTTAAAAATTATCTCAAATAAAATTTCACAAATAAAAAATTAGTTGGCCAGAAATTACATTCTCTAATTCTAAATTACATTAAAAAAAGAGGTCAAAAGATTCAACTTTAATCTCTACAAGATATTGAGTTTAATAAGAAGATTTAAGTTGGTATTTTTTCAACAATATGTGTAAGACATGAAAGAAATTTAAAACAAGAAAAGAATAAATCATTTCAAAGGAAACAAGAGAGGGAGAAGTTTTTTCAAAGGAAATACATACGGAGAACCGAAGAGAAAAGGTTAAAAAATAAAGAAGATGAAAAATAAAGAAGAAAGGTGAAAAAATATGGAAGATTGGCGAAAAATGAGGAAGAAAGATAGATATAATTGAAATAAGGAGAATATTTATTTAAAAAAATTAATTTGAAAGAGGGTTTGGCTAATTAGTCATTATTTTCTGTCCGGTAGGTCATTTTGATGGCTTTTTCAGTTGTCACGCACTCCCAAGCGAGTATTTACACACATTATGCTGGCTCAGCAATGAGGGGGTTTTAATATGAAGGGCAATATAGTTTAGGGAGGTTTTGAGAACACCAAATAATTTAAGTAGAAAACTGACAAAATATAATAATTTAAGGAGGTTTTAGGGTATTAACTCTAATAAATAACACCCCTAACATTGGGTGTTCCTTATAACCACGCCAAAATGTTACACCAGTGAAGCATCATCTGCCTTCACTCGAAAAATAGGCTTAGGTACATTCTACAATCAGCCCATAAAAACATTTAAGTATATTAGCTTACAAAGAAATTGGTATTTTTCATACCTAAGTCTACACTAGCATTTGGATATAGATTTGATTGAAACTTGGGGAAAAAAAAAGTTTTTGAAGTTCTGTTGAAAAATAATTTTTGAATATTGAAATTGTATTTGGACGTGCATTTTACTTGGATAAAAAATTCAAGTTTTGTGAATGGAAGAAAAGATTTCACCCAAATTAAAAACTAGCCAAAATTAGTTTTTGGAACTTAGAAGAAAAAAATTTAAAAACTGATCAAATTTCATGAACAAACAAATCGAGAGCTAAGATAATTGCATTTAGTCAAACTGGAAGGGGCCAATCATAAAACATATGTAGTTGTAGCAGATTGACAGCAAGTTTAGTAATCCATCAGCTACTTTAATTAGCCTGTCTATAACAGTATGATACACTACAGTTTACTTGGAGTAAGATCTGAGATATGTCATCAATAATAGAGTTCAACTTCAAGTTGATAATATTCCTTTTCTTTAGCATGTCAACAATGAGCAGAGAGATCAAGTTCAAGTATGCAGTGTAAGAAAGCATGTTGCAAACACCACTAAATCCTAAACCCTGTAGCATATGCTTCTGCTTGATTGTTAAAAGCATAATTGTTACAAGAGTATTCAGTTGGAATACCAAACAAAACAAAACCACTCGAATTTGGGGCGGCTACTAATATTACAGATTGGTGTATTAGGCTCGAACCATTTCTCCTGACACTTTCTTAGATTTAATAAATACTTGTTAATCTTCTCTACTAGGAGAGTTATGAATCACGGGTGATCCATGCTCTCTTGACCTTAAGGTTAAAGAACTAAAAGTAAGGGGAATATATCTCATTAATTTTAATAAATAGAGGTTTGTGGAGAAATTAATGTTGAGACATCTAGTTAAATAAAAGTGTATCTTCCGCAACAATTTAAGTTTTCAAATCAGATGGTCATACAACTTAATATAATATCAAAGCAAGCAGAGATCATGGTTCAAATTCCCATCCTCATCCATTAGACAAAAAAAATTACAAGTGCTTGGCCATAAAAAAAGGCCAATAAAAATATAAATGATAACAAATAAATGAGTGACAAGATTTGTGGAACTAATCATACCTTTAAAATAGTAGAAATTGCTTCGAGAAAGATTATGCATCTCAACTATCAAATCAATTAATACCACAAACCGAATACTTAAGCAGGAACAAAATAGTAGGGGGGGAAGCAACTAAAATGAGGGGTAAGTTCACTGGCTCACGTAAGGCAAAAGTTAAGATTTAAAAAAATCATATTTACTATGGATATTCAACATTTACTTTTCTAGAGTATTGTGTATTTGATATTCTAAGACCCTTACAAACTTGATTTAGGTAAATCAAAATATTGTTAGTCGCCAAATATAATACACAGAAGGCAAAATCCAATACAAAAAATTAAAATATCCAAGTAAAATCATGTAGCTTCAGTTGAATTGTAAACGAGTCTCAATAGAAAGATAGTTTTACCAAAATGAAGAACATTTACATATAGCAATGAAGGAATTTGTGCTTACCTCCATGAGAGTCTTAGACTGAGCTTGAAATAAGTAATTAGCTTCATACAATATGCTGAAAACGAAATTCTAAAGTACCCAATCGGGGAGTTAAAAAAAATTATGAAAAAAAAAAAAAAAAAAAAAAAAAAAAAAACACTCCTAATCAAGAACCATAACCAACTAGCCAAAAGTTAAACCAACATACATGAATTAATCAGGACGTTAATCATTCAAAACCATATTCCACAAACCAACATACATGAATTTAGAAGAGACAATAATCACGAATATATAAAGATTATTTTCACATACTGAAATATATAGTGGAGTAGTTCTTATTACTAGTAAGAAAGGCACTAGTACTTTTTCTTAAGAATTAACAATAAGAAATTTATTGTCTTTTGACATATTTTAAGGACCATAAAATCTTCCCTGGAGATTTCTGAACTGAGTAGGTAACACTGTAGATTTCCTTTGTGGTTCATCTTTCTCCCTTTCTTCAGTATTATTGCCAGTAACAGCCTTATTTTGGTTAGCTTTTTCTCCTTCAGATTCTCTATACGATTGCAAATACCTCTTCAAAGGCTCAGCATAATTATCAAACCCTAGATTTTCCAAAGCCCAGCAAATATCATCTCCATTCACTGTCTTACGCTTCTCTTTGTGACACTTATCCGATGCTTCTCCAGTAACAAAGCTAATGAACTCAGATACACATTCTTGCATTGTTTCTTTGGCTTCTTTCGAAATCTTGGCGTTTTGGGGAAGAATTTGCTTCATAATCCTCCCCACATTAGCTATTGGCAACAACCTATCTTGTTCCTTAATCCCTCCTTCTTCGCTAATTGGATTGTGTTTAGGGATTGATCCTAATATGTTGATGTTATCAACCATTTTAGGAAACCTAAAACCTCGATCCGCTCAAACACAAACACGTCGTTCCTTTTTATGTATTATTTGCTTCTTTATAAACACAAGTTCGTCTATAATACGCTAACTTGTAATTAAGAATTTGTAATATAGAGTAATATCGCCAAAAATTTTAAGATATATAAAAGTATCCAGTGGTGAGACACAATGGCAGACAAATTTGTATAGATGGTACAAAGTTAGGTCATATTTTGTTGTAGGAGTATATATTAGCCTTTAAAGGTAATACTTGCTTTAAACAATTATGGATCAAATTAATGGTCCCCTCCCCTCTCCCTTCCTACTTATTAATGTTTAATTAATGTTTAATCCTCTCCACAAGTTTTTAGTAATTAACCATATTGTCTCAATCAATGGTTGAGATTTGAAATTTGTGGACTAAGTATAATGCACATGTAGCATAGTGCTTCGTACCAAACAAAACCTAAAAATATCCATTTGAACATATGATGTTGAAAGTTAAATCGGAAAAAAGAACATTTGAGTTTAAATAAAAACCCTAGTTGTTGGTTACGACCTACTACTTAATAGATCTTTGCAGTAGATAATGGTAATCCTGTCTTTTGCAAATTGTCATTGTCGATTCCACAAACTCTGGGACACTACATACGAGGAGATATAAATGTTTTGCTTTATTTAGGTAACATAACATGAATATTATATTATACTTCATCCGTTTCAATTTATGTGATTCTGTTTGATTGGGTACGAAATTTAAAAAAAAAATAAAGACTTTTAAAATTTGTGGTTTTAAACAAGTCAAAAAGAGGTCCAAAATATTTGTGTGGTTAGAAAAGCTTCTCATTAAGGGTAGAATTAAAAGTTTAAGCTAAATTATTTTCAAATTTAAAAAAAAATTATTCTTTTTGAAACGGAACTAAAAAATAAATAGGTTAAACCTAGAAAATGAGGGAGTAGGTATAGTTGAGTCCAAGTTGCTGGCAGTGGCAGGCAAGGCTGTATAAATTATTGAAATTAGTACACAAATTATTGGTCCATGTTAAAGATATATACAGGCAAAGGATTCGAACTGTTCCTCGTAAACAAACAGTGGCATCTTAAAATCTTGGGTTCTGATTTGACCTATATGTCTAACTAGATACAAATTATACTTGTTTTTCATATGAATATATAACGTTGTCTAAAGTTTCAGATATTAATTAGTACATATTATTATTGGAAACCGATCGATTATCAGCAAATTAAAGGAGAAAAAGAAACAACTACTGAAATCTTTGTTAAAACCATAATCTCTTCATTTATTCTATATTCTAATAGTCTGCTCAAAGAGATTATATTATATACTTAAGAAGCCAGCTTTTCATCAATACGTTTATATAAGCTAGTGATAAGTAATGATAACCCAAGAATGATGTGTTCAAAACTTGGGTTACAACTACTGAACCCATTATCTTGTCTGAGGTGTTCATATATAATTCAATATTTTCATTAATTTTAGTTGATTTTACGGATAATAAATCCAAGTCTAGGCTAAATATTATGGGTTCAAATGAACCCGTATCTATGTTACTAGATCCGTGCCTGATCCATGTTTTCTTCTTAGGTCATTATTAATTAAATGTTTCTATTCATCATCTCCCGGTATATTCTTCTTTCTTTAGTGCGTGCTTTGTCAAGGCACTAGTTATTTCTTATAAACAGGCTTGTCGAGAAAAAAAATGGAGGACTACCGATTGATCGACCCTGGAAATAAAGAAAGGAAAAAGGTCAAAAATATCTTTTTACCGTGCGAAAATAATTATATATACCCTCCGTTATACTATCTATTCATAAAAGCCCCCGGCGTTGTATCCCACACATGACATGATATTTTGATAGGGTAGACGCAATATGCCAATGCTACTCAATTTACCCCAAGCTAATTAAAGTAGATGTGGCATCTATCTTTAGCACTATAATTCTTGATCCTGAAAGTGACATGGGGAAACCCTTGGAGTTCCAAAAGGAGAAAAAAAAAAAGAGGACCAGCACTGAACTGTGTTAAGAAAATCTTACCTTACCTTTCTTCTTTTCTTAACAGGCCACGTTCCTACTTTTACTTAGATTCTCTTCTCCATTATCATTGCAGTTTACTTAAGTGGGGTATTAGGGTATAATGTGATGTTAGGCTAAACTAGTTCGGTGTAGATATTATATTGTCGCCTTATGTCAAGTCGGTACAATTTTTCTCAAAAGGCCTCACATTAATAACAGATTCCATACACCTTATATGTAGGCTCTCAATTTTTTCAGCTACCAATGTGGAACTTTGTTCACACACCCAACAATCTCCCCCTTATTATGACAACCGAAGTCCGCAACTAGCTTTTTTTGTGTGCGCACCGTCCCGCACCATTACTTTGTCATCTTCAGACTCGTCCCGCCGAGCCGGAGCTTTGATACCATTTGTTGGGCTAAACTAGCTCAAATATACTTTTAACATGGTGTACGATTTTTCTCAAAATGCATCTAATCATTAAGAGATCCCTACACTCTTAGATGTATGCTCCCAATTTTTTCAGCTACCAATGTGGGACTTTGTTCGCACACCCAACATCAGATTTCATCTTTCTAGATTTTCAAGTCTGGCCAACATGGGATCTTTCTTTGGGTAAAAATCCGCTAAGGTCGAACCAACGTCAGAGACAAGCTAATTTTATAGTTATTGTGATTCGGGGATATCGTATTATCATCATATACAAAGGTGAGAATGTGAAATTAAATTTAATCGAATTGTTAGTACTATAGTAGGCAGACGCGAATGTAGCGTACTAGATACGGGTTCAATTGAACCCATAACTTTCGGCACGGAATAAAAATTTGTATGTAAAAATTCATTAAAATTACAAAAATAGTAGATATGAACCATAACTTTAAAAATATAATGGGTTCAATGTTAAAAATCTTAAAATTGAACCAATAAGATTTAAATTCTGAATCCGTCTTTGAATTAGCAAGCATGTTGTCGCATCAGCAACTTGAAAGAAAACCTAGCTTTTGACAATAACATTGATTCTCCTTTAGAATAGCCCCCTTACTTTTCTTCATACATTGATCACTTAATTCACATGCTTTTTTTAAAGTTAATTACGTAGTCTGTCCTAGGGTTGTGCACTATTTGGGTCAACCCGAAAATTTGAACCTATCCGTATTATTTGGATTTGATTTTAGCTCTTTGGATCGAATTTCGGATCTTTAATTTGATTATTTTGGATATCGGATTGGAAACGGTTTGGCTCAATTTACATCCAAACCGATCCGAAATCCGAAATTTATATTTTACATATAAAAGTGAGGGGTGCCCTTTTAAAAATTCTAAGGTTTCTTTGTTATTTCTCTCACCGTTTTTGCCTTTTCTTTCCTTTCAATATTAAAAGTAAAAGATATGGAAATAAATGGGTTTTGCTACTGAAAATGGTAGGAGATAGTATTTTAAAATTATTTATGTATACGGTCGAAACTGATTTCGGCCTTCGTGCGTCTGATCGAGGTGGGAACATAATGGACCGAAGAAAGTCTTTGTAATATCAAGGTGAGATCTGAAGAAGGCACGAACAAACTTCGAGTTTCGGAGTTGGATTAAATACCGAGCTCGAGTCCAAATCGAACTATACTAAGAAGCAGCGGAATCGAGCTTAATAACCAGAGGCCAACCAATATTGAACCCAGGTCAATACCGGACCCCCGAGTCGGCATCGAGCTCAAACCTGCATCGAGCTCTAAAACCAATACCGACCAACACCAAGTCCGATCAAGATCGAACTTACAGACAAGAGTCGTTGCAGCCGCACTAAGGGAGAGAATCTCGGCGTGAATTAGGGGAAAACTGATTTATCATGAGTTCCCCACTATGTATTTTTATTTATATCTAATTAAAGTAGGATCCCCCACTATAAAGAAGATGGCTACATTTTTGTAAACGACAAGTTTTTAGCATACATTGTAACTCAGATATCATACATTCTCATATTGAAGAATTATCTTTTTTTAGCTTCATAGATTGATTCATCTTGCTTAATCCATAAATCGTCATCTTTTCAACTTTGCTTATTTTTCATTCTTTACAGTCAATATTCGATATTTCAACTTACTCTTATGATTTGTGTCAAGTTATACCACATATCCTTAGAATTACGTACAAATTCAACTCTATCCATTTTTCGGGTAAACAATTTATTTTAGCATCTTAATAAGGTGTACATCCAAAACGAAATCCGAAATATTTATCCGATCCAAACATCAAAATTCGATCCGATCCGAGTTTAATTTGGTTCGAATTTGGATTGCAATTTATAAAATCCGAAATTCAAAATTATAATCCGAAAGTCCGATCCTATCCGATCCATGAATAGGCCTAGTTTGTGCGGTCCATAAAGGAGGAGAAAGAGGCAGAAAACGATATATCGAAGAGCAAAGGACCTTACTTCTACCAGTAGCGGCAAATGCAGCTCTTCGACAACGACTTCACTCGAATCCAGTATTATATTCTACGGGGAAAAATCATAAAATATTCACCAAAAATAAGATCTGAACCTATATATATAACAAGTACAAAAAGCTTAGTGCTATGAATTTTAAGGTCGAACCTTTCAAGTTTAATTACTAGATCTGTCATTTGCTTCTACATCTTACATTTCATAAGGGCTTTTAATTTCTCACGATCTCCTACTCCAACCAAAGGTGTAGCTATACTTTTGGTGGGGGTCAAAAATAAAATAACCCTTTTGGTCGAAAGATTACACCGTACAAAAAGGGTAATTAAACCAAAAACAAAAATATTAATTATGCATATCCCTTGATGTAGGTTCATATCTTAGGTGTGACATTTTGTATATTCTGTTAAATCTCCTTATTCAGATTTATGGCTACACCATTGACTCCTGATTAACAGTCGAGTTTGCTCTCACAAATTATCTCTACCACAACCTTCATTTTTCCCTTCACCTAAATAAAATATTTTATGTAACTTACTGTGTTATATAAAATGTATTACAACTATCTTTAGGGAAGACAGACACCATTTTAAGTTAGAAAGAAAAGCAAGCCTAGAATTATTTTCTTAGACCAAGGGAAAAAGATAGTGTC